GGGGTCGAACTGAGTGGGGAAATTTGCCGAAAGTGGCAACAGTCGACTGATTGAGGGAAGGACGGAAGTTTCCGCGACATGAGCTAAATTTCGAAGCCAGAAAAGCCGACGTGATGAAAATAGATGCTATTATGTTTTCGTTTGAGTCATTGCCTTTCTTTTCTGGTTGTGATGTACCGCTGCTTGCGTATTATTTTAAAAACCTCATTTTCTCAACGAAATAGTTTGATGCGAAAAAACTGTGATCGGGGGATTTCGGCAAGATTTGCTCTATACGATATCCAAATAAGCGCGAAATGGCACAGAAGCGTTTAGGAGGACGTTCTACGCAGACCGAACATGCCAATTGGTGCATGGTCGATTCCATACGTTCAGAATCTTTTTTGCAAAATATGGATGACATCAGGTGCTGCCGGAGTCGCCTCTTTGCTTTCCGTACAGTCTGAAAAAATCACAGTGCTCAGTGAAAAAATTAAAAGCCACAAAAAATCAAAAATCACAGTGCTTGGCCTAAATTGTTTCTGGCTTCCAACTAAACGGCCCACAGTCAATGCTAGGTAGTCAAGCCGACAATCACTGCTACACAAAGCAGAATCAGTGTTCCTTTAAAGCAAAACGGTGAGTCGAAAAAATGTCCTCGGTGAACTGTAAGTTAAAGATGATACTAATTTGCTCAGCTTAGCTAATTTTATGCATTTTCAATGATCTGAGTAACATCGTTCAAGAGTCACTCTTACTCGTATGTATGGGAATGTTTTTCCGGATGTCAAAATAATTCAGCCCCAGAACCAAAAAGTAGGCAACTAAGCGTAAGAAATTAATTTCAGACCATGTGGGATATCAGAAAATTAAAATTGCCTTGAGCTACTCCGTTCTGATTTGCAACATCAGGCCCAAGTCAGAATTTATACACGTGGAATTCAAGCTATTAAACAGTGCAGTTTGAGCTACCCTTCAATTTCTTCGTAACGTGTTCTGTAAGTGGGCCCAAATTCGAGCTAGTGTATTTGACATCCGGAAATTTTGGAGATTTGATTGGAGCAGTTCAGCAGTTCTGACAAGTCGCTCCAGAACGAGCCAGTCTTTGAAATTTTCAGCTTGTGATAGATTTTATCTAATGGAATCAGTTTCTGCAAATCTCTCAGTTTGATTAAGTTCATCCAGTGAGTCAGTGCAGATTACCCTGGAAGGTTGTTGTGAAGCTAGGATGTTTTGAAAAGCAGCTGTATGCTGCGTGAAGCTATTCCTCCCTCCTCTTCTCCCCCGCCCCCCCC